GTCTCCTGACCTGGCAGGTTGATCGTCTGGGAATACTCTATGGCAGGTGTGGGCAAACTACGGCGGGTGGGCTGGATCCGGGCCACCAGCTGTTTTAATCTGGCCCTTGAGCTCCCGCTGGGGAGCGGGATCTGGGGCTTGCCCTGCTCTGGCGCTTCTGGGGAGCAGGGTCGGGGGCCACTCTGTGCAGCTTCCGGAAGCAGCGGCATGACCCCGTTCCGGCTCCTACGCGTAGGGGCAGCCAGGGGGCTCCGCTCTGCACGCTGCCCCCACCCCAAGCACCACCCCTGCAGCTCCCATTGGCCGGGAACTGCGGCCACTGGGAGCTGCAGGGGCGGTGCCTGCGGACAGGACAGCGCACAGCGCTGCCTGGCCACGCCTCCGCATAGGAGCCATAGGTGGGAACATGTTGCTACTTCTGGGAGCCGCTTGAGGTAAGCACTGCCTAGAGCCTGAACCCCTGAGCCTCGCCCCACACCCCAATCCCCTGCCCCAGCCCTGATCCCCCTCCCACCCTCCAAACCCCTCGATCCCAGTCCAGAGTACCCTCCTGCACCCCAAACCCCTCAGCCCCACCCCAGAGCCTGCACCCCTAGCCAGAGCCCTCCCCCCCGCACCCCAATCCCAATTTTGTGTGCATTCATGGCCCGCCATGCAACTTCTATACCCAGATGTGGCCATTGAGCCAAAAAGTTTTCCCACGCCTGCTCTATGCAGTGATGTGTCTTAGGGGCTTATATGATCCCCAGTCCCATAATATCTGAGCGCCTTGCAGTCTTTCGTGCATCTGTTCTTGCAGGTAGGGAAATATTAATGACCATTATATAGGTAGTGCACAGACTAAGTGACTTGCCCAAGGTTGCACAGGAAGTCTGTAGCAGAGCAAGGAATTGAACCTGGGTCTCCTGGGGCCTAACCGCTGTGTGCCATTCCCCTCTCGGGGAGTCAGAGGTGAAGCCTCCAGTTACAGAGGGAACTGCATACCCGTTTTATTTCAGCAGTGATATCAAATCCTTTCTGTCCTGTGTGGACTCAGGGGATCCCGTAGCCCTTGATGTAGGAGATTTGTGAATGTTTCCCCTCCATTCACCCCTTACGACTGTGCAGTGTCTTGTCAGGAACAAAGAATTTCCTTGTGCAAAGGACTTGGGAGAGCTGGGTTGAATTCCTAGCGCTCATGCTGACCTATGACCTCGGGCGCTGTTCCCAACCTAGACCGTGGGTGACGCTTCCCCTGTGAGAGCGGGTGTTGAAGACTGTAAATGTCACTCGCTACTTGTGAGTAGCTCGTTGGTGTCCTACGCTGGCTATCTCCAGCCCATATGTTGGAGCTCCTCTGCTGGCAAAACAGCCTAGTAGTTAAAGCAAAGACTCTCCTGGCTCAGCCACTTACTCACTTTGAGATCTTTGGCAAGTCACTTAGCCTCTCTTTGGTGTATCCCCACTTACAGAATGGAGACCTACATCCCAGAGGGGCTGGGGGCAAACTGATGGCTGCAAAGCACTAGAGGCCCTTGGCTGGAAGGTGCAGAGGGAGTGTGGTTAGTACAGAGCCCTGGGGCTGAATGGCGGGGCGGCTGGCTCTCCTCTAGCTCCAAGGAGCCTGCATTCCAAACCCTTGCTTCATACTCAGTGACTCCTCTCCTGTCCCCTTCTTCCTCCCATGGACTGTGTCTTCAGCCTAGGCCAGTGGGTGCAGTACTGACTCTGAGCAGTAGCAACCACGTTAACAGCCAATGCTATCGGTCGCAGAATCTGTTTTCCTTGGTCTCATCCATGCAGTCACCAGGCCCTGCCCTGCTTAGCCTAAGAAATCTGACCGGCCAGGGTGGCATGACGGCAGGGAGCCTAGAGCTGTCTGGCTTGGTGATGGAGTCCCCCGCAGGAGGAGTAACATTGGCACCCATGCGTCTGACGAAGTGGGTATTCACCCACGAAAGCTTATGCTCCAATACATCGGTTAGTCTTAAAGGTGCCACAGGACTCTCTGTTGCTTTTTACAGATCCAGACTAACACGGCTACCCCTCTGATAATTGGCACCCAAGTCTTTCGAAGCTATCCGATTGCTATCTTTCAGGGTGGGAGAGAGGATACCCATGTCCTGCTCCCTGGATCGCCTTTGCCTGATGGCTATTCACTGGAACTCTCCACTTGAAAATGTGGCAAACTTTAGTGCTAGTCCCAGCCCCGTTCCCAAGAGAATTGTAGTGGTATCATGTCCAGTGCATCCTCAAGTGCAAGGTAACAAAGTGTCCCTCTGTCCAGGGTGTGAAGCCCCTGCTGTCATATAGACCCAGTCCCCAAACCTGGTCTTCGTCGAGCTAGAGCGTTGCGTTGTTCCCATGGCATTTCAGAGTCTTTCCACTAACCTTGTGTAGTGCTGTTTCAGAATCCCTCGCACGTAAAGAGAGCTGTTGGTCTCTAAATGCCAGAATAGGCCCAGCAGCCACTAGCAAATCAGCGCTTTTACGATTCGTACTTACCATGACCAGATCCTGAGTCTGTTCTGTGTTGCTACTTTGCAGAGTAACTGTGTGGGCCACGATTTCGGGGGGCCCCTGTTTGGTGGTGCTGCAGTTGGTGTCTGTGCAGTGCATTGTCTTCAGAACAAGTCGTATGTTTCAGATGGGGCTGATGACGGATTTCTCAAGGGTTTTTGCCCAGCCATCCTCTGACCGGCTTCTGGCAAACTTCTCCGACTACCTCTCAAGCTGCCTTGTTACAATCTGATCGTGTATTTAAACATTTAGTTGTCCTTGGACTGTAAGTTTACAAAAAAACACTTTTTTTCTGGCCTTTTTTGTACAAGAGCATCCGTAGTCGGGTCCTCATCTAACTCCCTGCTATGTACCGTTGGAGAAAATACTTTGGCATTAAAAGGGGCACTTGGAACATCTGTCGCCCACAGCAGCCACGAGGGAGCAGGAGGTTAAGATCCGCTAAGTGGACGCAAGAGTTAAGAGTCTGTGTGTGGAAGGTGCAGTTGGGAAGATCCTGCAGACCATATGGTGACACTATGGCTATGTTTACACCACAACCTGTGTCAGCAAAACTTGTATCACTCAGGAGTGTGACTGTGCCCCCCCCCCCCCCCCCCCCCCCCCGAGCGATGTAAGTTTCACCGACATAAGCGTTCGTGTGCATGGCGCCATATCGGCGGGAGAGCTTCTGCCGCTTGGCACAGCTGGCAGCAGCGGCACTGTGCGTATAGACATGGCCTTATTCCTGGAGCCAGTTGTGAAGCACTGGGGAGAGCCTTCTGTGTGAGGGGCCTTGGAAATGCCCAGTATTCAATGCCCCTGCTTGGGGAGATGGGTCCTGTCTGTGAGCATTAGGGAAAGGGGTGCCGGAGCTGGAATGAGCTTCCTTCACTCTGGGTAGGAGGAATTAACCGGTCTGTACGCTGATCCTGTAATAGGGTCTCTTGCTGACATCGCTTCCTGGAGAACTTGTCCGTTTTATGACCACTTTCGATGCAAAAACAGCCTCTGTTTCTCTGAGTTGGCAAGTGATTGAAGTTCATCCAATAATCTAGATCCAGTTGCTAAGAGGGGTCCTCCCTCTAGCCAGCCTTTATGCTGGGCTGTCCCCTAGCTCTGGTTGCGGGTACCTAGTAGAATGCCCATATCCCACTGCCCACCTCTGCTCGGCTGCAGGGGTGAGGAATATATTCCCTGGGTGGTCGCGTTCAGAGCTGCACACTGATCGCCAAGGGGAAGCGGGGCGTGTTTGCTGAGCGAGAGCGAAGATTCATTCTCTTCCTGTACTGAGCTCAGATTGACCCTGACACTTGAGACGTAGCTGGAATTCGGATACTTGCACGTTGGTCCTGGAAAAAAAACAAAACAAAAACCCAGTCCTTGGATGGGGCGCTGCTGGGACTGCTCAGGGGAGGTGGGAGGGAGCGGTTGCTCCAGGCGGCTCTTCCAGCCAAGCCTGATTAATCTTTTCTCTTCTTCCTCCCTTCCACTTCTCCTAAAACGTGGCCTTCCAGGAGGCCACTGGGGTGGGAGCAGCGCTAAGGGAGGCTGCACCTGCACTGCGTGGGCTGCGTCGACTCTTATTAACCTTCCTGAAAGGAAGCTGTGGCCAGTAATAGAAGACCGCCAGCAGTCTAAGGAGTGGGGCTGTCTATCCAGGGCTGCTTTTATAGCTGCTGCTGGGAATCTTAGCTGCAAAGGCCAGGCTTGGGCCGGAGCCACGGCAAATCCGGCGCTGCCCTCCCAGCTAAGGCTCACGCAGGCTGTTTGAAAGGCTTTGATGAAGTCAGTGGGACGCACAGTGATTGGCCAGCCCCCACTCACCTGGTTATTCCAGGCTTGGTAGCTGCAAGGTGTCTTGAGCTGTGGCTCTTAAATTTGGCTGCAGTTTACAAGCTGTGTGGAGCTTGGACCTACTGTCTCCCTGTAATGCTCCTGCCAGTCTGTGTCTGGGGCAGGGCCCGGCTTCCCACGTTCTGGACTGTGCCAAGCCCAGTGGGCTCTGATCCTTGGCTGAGCTCTGGGTCACAAGTCCTTCTCTGAGGAGCAGGGAAGGCGAGGTCTGCCCGTTTTCAGACAATGCTAAGGCTCAGGCTTGGCCAAGGGCTAGAAATGTTAGATGAGGTTATAGTGTGTGTGGTCCTTGCTTAGCCCACCTGGGCAATGGGGCAACAGAACTGCCTGGCACCGCCGGCACATCCCGTGAAAAAGGCTTTCAGGCAGGTGCTCAAGGGGGAGTCAGTCTCTGAGCAGCAAGTGAGCGAGAGTCCCTCCCCCTTCTCCCCAGCATTGCAGGGAAGGGTGGCATGTCAGTTGTGAGATCTTCTTGGGCCCTGTAAATAGGGATGCAACTAAACTTCTTTTTTGCGTGCGCTGTCCAAGCCTATGGAGGCAGCACCGGCCGAAGGCTTTGGGATGGGCCCCGTGTAACCATCTCTGGGGGCTACAAGCGAGTCAGCCTCGCACCGCTGAACTCCGTGGCATGTGACGCTGTCTCGTTTCTCTCGTCTTCCTCCTAGACCGTGGAACATGGGTTCCCCAACCAGCCGAGCTCTCTGGCCTACGACCCCAAGCTGCGAATTATGGCCGTTGGCACCAAATCGGGAGCTGTGAAAGTGTATCCTTTCCGGGACTCTCTGGAGAAGGGCGGAAGGTAAGGTCACCTCCTGCCAGCTGGGGGGCAAACTCGCTGTAGCTACAAATGGGCCTGATGTGGCCACTGCCCATGGCTCCGGTGTTGGGTTGGTCTCATTCGAACTCTTTGGCTAACTGTAGACACTGGCTTGGTCTTCTCTGTTCACCTTGGTAGGTGCTAGCTAAGCATTTTTTATAGTGTCTCAAGATACCTTGCAGGCCAAACAGCTGGGACCTGCGGGGGGTGATCCAGTCTTGGCTTAGGCAGAAGCATTCCTTACTGGCTCGGGAAGGTGTTGGGACCACTCTACGCGAGGGCTGTATTTCAGCTCAGCCCACTGCGGTTCCGGGATGAATATGGCAGCTGATCTCGATTCAGTAGCTCATCTGCAGCTTTGAAAACTTGAACTTCTGGCTGAGAGCCTGTAGTGTTGGTCGGGAAAGTGGGGTTTCTTCTCCCATGAAATAGCCTCGAGTATTGTGAGCTTCCCAGCGGATGTCCCGGGGCTCGGACCCTGGCTGACTGCATTGTCCGGATGAGAGTGAAAATTCAGGCTTACAGCATGGAACGTTGAGGTACTTGTCTCTGCAAAATCTCACAGCAATGATTGCAACCAAGCTTAAGGCCTGGATTAACTGCTTCACTTCGGTGCCCACCCAGGGCCGAAGGCTGCAGAGCCTGTAGCTTCGGAGGACTCTGCATAGCGCTCTTGGAAGCAAGGCTAGGCTGTGTCGTGAGCATTGTAACCCACTGCGAATGGGTGTGTTCTTGCTGTGCACGTGAGTTTGCTAGTACCTGGCTTCTTGTGGGTGTGGGTTGTTTATACGCATCTAAAACGTGGAAAACAAGGGTGCCGTTCTGTTCCCACCTTTTTTGGCAGGTGAAAGTGGAGGGGACGGGGGTGGAGCAGAGTGGCTCAAGGTGGGTGGGTGGGAGGACAGCCAGCATCTGGGAAAGGTGTATGTGTGGAGGGGGTGTATGTAGATCTTAACCTACTACGTCTCCAGGTGCCCACATTGGAGGTAGTGGTTGGAGCACAGAACTGGAGCCCAGGACCTCTTAGTTCTGACACTGATCCCTTCTGTTCATGGGTCCTCGCTTTTGCCTCTAGTTTTCCCCATCTGTTAAGCAGGGATGATGGTGTTTACCTGCTTCCCAGGGGTGTTGTTCCGTAAGGGTTAGTCACCACGCCTTGGGGATGGGAAGTGAAGTCACGGCTGCATGGGCCAAGTTTGAGGGTGGGGTGGGGGAGGGGAAGGCTGCTTGTGCTCCAGATAGGGTGGGCGGGTGGGAGCGCCCGCCCTCTCCCTGCATGGGTGTTGCTGCAAATAGGTCTTGCCAAGATTCCAGCCTCTGCACTCAGCTGTCTGTGCAGAGCAGTGACTCAGAGTTGATCCTCCAGCTCTCAGCAGGAGCATGGCTTTTTCCTCTTCTAGCATGTTTCCTACTCCGTGCCTAGCAACCGGCCCTCTGGTAAATAGCTGAATGGCCGCGTCTGGGCCTTGGCTTGGCAAAGTGGTCATAGAAACCAGCTTGTGGGTAGGGGCAGACGTGGAGACGGTGACCAAACGGCAGCCTCGCGTCTGATGCCAGCGAGCCTTGCCATCCTGTGCTCTCCTCCTGCCTCCAACTGCGGTGGCAGTGGCTTTCCCGCCATGGTGCTACTTTCTGCCCTTACTGGACAGGGTAAAACAGTGCCCATGTGAGCCAAAGGGGCAACCTCATTGAAGCTCTTGGATTTCCTTCAAGTGTGGCAAACCAAACGCCTCTCTGCGGCCCCTCACTTCAAGCACAAGCCTGCCCCGTTAGCATAACCTGGTTATAGCTTTCCCTGGGCATCAGGGATCTCTCCATGGAGAACCGAATCCGGGGCCTAGATGGATCTCTGCAGCAGCTGGGGTGTGGGTGTGTGTGTGTGTATGGCTGAGTGGAGGATAAATCCAAACTCCTCATTCCCAAGGGGTGGGGAAGGAAACAGCTGAACTTGCTCAATCTTCCAAAAATACGGTATCTGACTTATGAATGGAGTCCACCTCCGCTCTAAGTAGACGTGGTGTCATCACTCGCCGTGGAGCGGTGCCCAGGGGAAACGGCAGATCAGGCACTAAAAACTGACATTCCCGGATCCCGCTGGTGGCTTGCAATAGGGAGAGCGTTCACGCTCGCACTCCTCCTCTGCTGGCGGCTTCCCCACTGCTTCCCTCCAGCTCTCTTCACGGTGCCGTGATGCTGTTCATTTCCTCTCTCCATGAAGAATACGTGCCAATGGCAAGTCGGGATTGAGCAGTGATGCACGCTGGGGAGAAGGAGCAGATGTGTGTGTTTCTTCCTCCTCCTCCAACAAACCTTCAGCTCAGGGGATTATTTAAGGAGCACAAATTGCAGGCTGAGGATGGCAAATTGCAGAGGTGGTTGGGGAGAGCAAGGCTGGTGGGGACACACTGGGCCAGCTGGGGTGCCAGGTACTTGGTGTTTAAAGCTCCTTGCCCAGTGTTTTTGTTCTTCCACCTCTGCAAACAATCGGTGGGGAAGGCGAACCTGAAATGGGGACCACTAGCCCGCCAAGTGGGCCCTCTCCCCCGAACAAATAGGCCAGAGTTATTAGACAGCAAGTTCTGGTGGATAAGGTACTGAGCTGGAGATCTGGGTTCTACATAGATTGGCCGGACTTTGGGGGCAGGAACTGTGGTGTGTGGGGTTTTTTTGTGTACTGTTTGTACAGGGCCTAGCACAGTGGGGTGCTGACCCATGGCGGGCTCATAAGTGCTACGTTGATACAAATAATAGATGTGTCCATGCATGGAGCGCACAAGTCTGTGTCCAATTAGGAGCTGGATTTCTCTCTGAAAAAATAATACACGTACATCCAGCTTAAACTGCAATCAGTTAAATGCTGAGGCCCACCCGATTCTTGTGCATCACGCAGGGCTCGGACAACACTTCTTAGCAAATGCGCTGTTTTGTTTTGGGGTTTTTTCTCCAGTGCAGAGGAAAGACTCCTCTCTAGAGGCAAGACATGGGCCCAAACCACAGCCTTAGAAATGGGGTGTCTGCATGCGGTCTACCAGCACATCTCTCGCAGGGATGCCGCTATGTAGAGGAGCCGCCCCAGTAATGGACCGGAACGCCCTGGACAGCAGCCTAGTGATTTGGGCTGGCGTTTTCAGGGAATCGGGATGCAGTCTTACAGGGACCCTTTGGGGAAGGGCCTTTCCCAGCTCCGAGGCTAACTGGCTGCCCCTGAATCGAGCGTCTGTCTTGAGCCGTTGTGGGCGGGGGGGGCGGGGAGCTGACCCATTGTATCCAGGGCATCCTTGACCAGTCTGCTGCACGTAGCCAAAGCTCCTCGGAGGAGAGGGGAGCTGGCAAGTTCTGCGAGGCCTGGCAGAGAGCGTCCTTTGTTGCTTGCTGTGTGGAGGGACTTCAGAGGGCTTTCTGGCTGCAGGCCAGGAATCAATTTGTCCCAGGGGTTTTGAGGCCCTGTTCTCCGGGCCCCGCTCCACAGGAATGCGAGGGGGCGTTAGTCGGAAATCGGTCGGACGTGCCGGACAGGACAAGGTGCAGAGCTGGCCCTTCCCTGGTCTGTCCTAGCCGTAGAATCTCCTCCCGGCGCCACTGCAGCCTCTCTGCACGGGAGGGGGGAGGAAATTGAAGACCCAGTCGCTGTGTGCGCACCCGAGAGGAGCTCCCTTTATTCAGCGTCCTAGCACAAAGCTGGCATTTCTTTCCATTGTGCACCAGGCCTGAATGCCGGCCCAGCTGCGACGTCGCTGGCCACGCAGCCAGAAGATGGCTCTGTTTGTCCCCGGAGAGGAGAGCTTAGTTGACAGGCACAACAGACTGTGTGTGTGTGTTGGCACCAATACGTTGCCCTGGCAACTCGACCCCCTCCCACGCCCCAGTTATACAAAACTGACCTAGGAGCACAGATGCTCCTTGGGACAGGGACCGTCTCTATTCTATGCTGTGCACCCCTACGGGGTGACGTGCAGTAACAGTACGAATAACTAGGCAGGGGCGGCCTAGTGCCTTTTCCTCTCGCTCCATCCTGGTTAGGGGTAGCAGCATAAAAGGTCCTCTCTTCACCGCCAAAGCAAAGCCACCGTTGCCAGGTCACGTAGCCTGTATCTGAAGCTATTGCTTTTGACAGGGCTGGCTAGAGCCGCTTTAGCATCGGCTGGGTGGATTGTACCCAGCAAGGAATCGCCTCAGCTGGGTAAGACTGAACATCTGCCGGTGGCAGTGGATAACTTAGACAAAGTGAGCAGCTTCCCATTCCCCTTGCTCCCCATCGCCAAGCCCACTTCTCCACGGGAGCAAGAGCTCAGTCCAGGAGGGTCAGCGCCTGCTAGCTCAGAGCAACGGGCGGAAGCAGCATCCTAACTAACCGCCGGCTGCACCGACTGTTTCTTTCCCTTTTTGTTTTAAACCTGCTGCTTATCAATGGAATTGGGACCCCTGGTTCTTGTGTTATGTGAAGGGGTAGAGAACGCTTCCCTGTTTGCTTTCTCCACACCAGTCATGATTTTATAGACGTCTGTCCTCTTCCCTCCCTCCCCCCACCCCCCAGCTGTGTCTGTTCCGAGCTGAGGTTCTTCAGTCTCTCCTATGGAAGCTGTTCCATCCCCCTGATCATTTTTGTTGCCCTTCTCTGTACCTTTTCCAATTGTGAGATCTTTTTTGAGATGGAGTGACCAAGTCTGCCTGCAGTATTCAAAGCATCAGTGTCCCATGGATTTATATAGTGGCATTTTATTTACTGTCTTATCTACTCTCCCTTTCCTAATGGTTCCTAACATTGTTAGCTTTTTTTTTTTGACTGCCACTGTACATTGACCAGATGTTTTCAGAGAACTATCCACAGTGACTCAAAGTTCTTTCTCGTGTGGTAACAGCTGATTTAGACTCCATTTTGTATGTATCGTTTTGGAAAAAAAAAAAAAATCCCATGTGCATTGCTTTGCAATTAGCAACAGTCAATT